GTAATTGATTAAAATGAATACAAACCAGTTGTTGGTCTACAGGAGTGGACTCGAAATATGCGAGAGTTTCGTCTAAACTAACACATGATGTGACCCGAGATGTCAACGATAGGTCACAATTGGAGTCCTCTTTTTGTTGACTCAAATCAATGAGTGGTAAGGCTTTGATTTGTTCCCATTCATCACATTCTACCTCATAGTCTGACAATAAAATATAAATTGAAAATTGTGACCAAATTATGTCGAGATTGTTGTATACCTCGAGATCTGTGACTTTTCTCAATACTTTGTGACTCATGAATGTCTTCAGAAGACATTATCTCATTTAATGATTATATAACTGTTTAACTTTTGAATGAAAATCTTATTTATAAAAATTCTTGTTTAATGGTTTGAAAACTTTTTTAACTTTAAAGAAGTCATGAAATTTGTTATAAAAACTCATGTCTTCTAATTTTGTCCACTGATAGACCACCCAAGAGCTGATCCACTAAAACAATATTTGCACACAAATGTCAAACAAGAATTAAATCAATAATATTTCTAATAGTGTTTATAATATTATATTTTATGTTTCCATAGCTTTTATCGATTGACTAAATTCTTGTCCATATATGCCTAAAATTCTGTGCTAATTATGTAATAATGAATTTTTAAATAAATTAATATTTTAATTGTTTCCATTTTGCTATTTACAAAAAAATATAAGTCATATAGTTAAATATCCTTGTTAATTTGGTAATGAGAATAATAAGCAAATTCCTTACAGTATGTAACAGTTATGCAAGAATCATGTGAACGCACGTATGAATAGTGAACGCAATATATGGACGACCCCTGAGTGTAGTGACGGTTACCGCCATTTATAGTTTTCGCGCATTTATTGCATAACAAGTGCTTTGCTTTCAAACTGTTGTCTGTTTTGCCAAACATTTCATTCGTTAATCACTCGTTATATTGATTGTTATAATGTTTGTCTTCGCGGTGACCATCACTTGCCTCACCACCGATCTCTTCACCCGTAATCTCTAAGGTATGCCACCATTTGTACGCAAACCGCTGTTTCACTGATCAGTCGATTGTCCATCACTTGTCACTGAATCCACTGATTGTCTCCCAAATGGTATTGATTTTAATGAATGATTGAATCGCAGAACCGATGGTCAGAGCGACTGAAATGCCATTAAAGCGAAAGGAGAGTAACAAACGATACATCAGTTCCGACTCTGAAGACAGCAGTGTTTGCGAGACACCGAAGAAGGAGTCGACAGTTGGCGCCAAACGATTGGCCGACCGGAAGGGCGTCTCAGAGATGGTTAACCCCAACGATAGTTACGACATTCGGCTCACGAATGGCAAAGTGAACGGCATTTCAATGGATGCCTCGACTATTGGTCTCAATTCGGCGCTCAATCCCCGCGTTTCGCTCAACAGAGAGGCCGTCGAAAGCTATCAGAAGCGCAAGAGTTTGGGATTAAGTGCACCGAAAGCCACACCAATTCAGGAGAGGGATGAACGCGAAGA